GGCACGCTTTTGTCGTGCACGCATTTGTCGGGTGACGAAATACTATTAGATGGATATCAAAAGGAACACTTTGGCCAAGCTAGAGACTTTGGAAATTATTTATTAGGTTCAAAAATGCTTAACAAAAGCCCAACAATAGTCCAGTGGAAACCGGTACATCTGAGGCACTGTCTCTTGTTGATTTGAAGATGGCATAGGAGGAACAATTCCCATATACCAGTCAATGAATAAGCCACATGGAAAAATAGGGGGAAGGGGCAGGGGAGGGGCGAAGTAAAAATTCATTAACTTCTTTGTGTAGGGATCAGGGGCAGGATAGGGCAGTAGTGAAAGAGACAGTTAAGCCAAATTTCCAAAAAGGACTGGAAGGCGGGGGTGGGGGGAGAAAGATGGTGAAGCATGAAAACTGAAGCTCTTTGGTTTCTGATATGGAAATCCTCTTCCCCTTTCAAATCCAGATTATTGTACAGCTTCAAGAGAGGTAATGGAAAATTTTAAGTCTTCGTTTTCCGGCCACCTTTTGGGCTGTTTTCGGGCCTTTTTCCAGGCTGTGTTTTGGGCCATTTCTTGGGCCGTTTTTCGGGGCCGAAAATGGCCACAAAACCAGCATTAAAGCAGCCCCCAAAACAGCTGGAAAATGGACCAAACACAGATTGAAAAACTGCCAAAGACAGCCCGAAAACAGTATGGAAAATGGTCCCAAGAAGCCCTCTCCAAACAGTCCGAAAACATCTGGAAAACGGCCTGGAAATGGGCTGAAAAAGAAAATTTTCTTTTTCAAATTTTGAAAATTTTCAAATGGGCTGAAAAAGAAAATCCCAGAAAATGGATGGAAAACAGCCTGAAAGCAGCCCAAAAATGGATGGGAAATGGCCAAAAATCACCCCAAAACAAGTGGTGACGGGGTCAGCCAGTGGTGGAATTAGCCAGTTTGCCAAACTGGTGCTGAATTTTAACAACTGCTTGAATCCCATCTCTGCTCCATAGACACGAAAATGCCAGTTTTCGGGGCATTTTTGGAGTTGTTTTCGGCTGTTTTGGGGGGTCATTTTTCAGGCCGTTTTTCCCAGCTCCTACTTGAGGAAATCTTGAGCAGGGAAGGGGGTTAGCAGATTCATTAGGTGCACCAATTGCATCCTATCCTGGACCAGAAAGGACTTGCACAATGGGTCATTCTTGCCTCGGTCACCTCCTGTTTGGATTACTACCCTGGGCCATCCAAAAACTTCAACTGGTCCAGAAGGCAGCAACACTCATCGTAATGGCAGTCCCTAGATTATCTGTGTAACATCTTTATCGTGCGAGCTGCACTGGATTGGTTTATGGTGCAATTCAACATGCTGGCCATCACCTTTAAAGCGATTTCTTTATTGTAACAATAGCATTTATACCGATATACCACCACAATGCTTTATACCACTATCGGTTTAGAGTGTCAGCATATTGTCCCCAACAATCTGGGTCCTCATTTTATTAATCTCAAAAGGATGGAAGGCTGACTCAACCTCAAGCACCATCAGGATCGAATTCAAGGCAGTGGACAGAGTCAGCCAGCATCACTGCATTTTAATCACTAGACCACCAAGACAGCTGTCATTATTGTCCCATCTTTATTATTTTTGCATCCATATGTTCTACCAGGCCAGATAGGTTGGACATCCTGCTAGGCCTTTGCTTTAAATATTGCCATCTGATAGGAGCTAAGAAGTGTCCCTTTTCCGTTGCAAACCCTGCCCTATGGAACACCCTTCCACATGAAGTTTGGGAAGCATTTATCCTCCTGGTCTTGTGTAAAATAAGAAAGCTCCAGCTCTTCCCCTAAAGACTGGGATAAGAAGTGTTGCTTGATTCGGAACCAGGTTTTTATTAAATTTATATGCCACTAATCCTGAGGTTAACTTCTCCACTTTGACTCCTTGCAAGGAGAAAGATAACCAGTTTTGAGCAAGAATGGCACCTGACATGAACACAATTAGTAAGGCCTGGAGGCCTGGTTGAGTTCAAAATCGAACAAAAGCAAGAATCACCTTTTCGGGATTCCCAGATCATCAAAATACCATCAACCTTGCTAGAAGTGCCCTGTATTTGCAGGACTAGATTTTAACCGTGGAGGCTTTGCATTTTGCCCTTTGCAATGGATGGGGTTGAGTGATTTCTGTATTAAGGTTTTATTGCTCTAAACCGTGTGAAGTCATGAGTTAGGTGTGCCCCATACATTTTTTTACTGAACAAAAATACATAAGGAAAGAGGGATGTATGTATTTATATCTCCCATTATTATATGTTGAAGTAACTCAAGGCGGCAAACATACCTAATACAGATTCTATTCTGTTCTTCTCATGTTTGATCATAAGACATGTTTCACTAAAAAGAATCTTCTTTCTAGTGTATTCCCACAGATTCGGGGTTCGCTTTTTGCATCACTGAACACTGCCTTGCATGGTAAGGTGCGTTTCCAGGGCACAGGCACAGGGCTTGCATATCTTTGTTGATGGTGTCTTGCCATCTCTGTTTTGGATGCTCACGATGTCACCAGCCATTGACTTCTAATTGGTAGGAAGTCTTGGCCACAGTGTGACGGTGCTCCTCTCTGGACATGGCCATATCAGTGGAGTTGGCCTTCTCTCACCTTCTCTATAATTGCTGCCACACCAAAATGCTGTCTAATAGTGTCATTTGTGAAGTGTTCAAGAACGGGGAAGCCCAATATCCAACCTAGCACTCGCATTTCCATGGCATGGATCTAGCTTTGGGTCCCT